TCAAAAAATCGCTTAAAAACAGTGGATTTATACCTGCCGAAGCTTGTGAAGGAGGACGACGTGACTGAACTGTGTTTGGCGTCGTCCACGAGACCACGACGACGAAATTTGCTAGCTTCGCTTGCGCAGTACACTGTGTCTCACTTCCGGTCATCTTCGACCAAGTCTTCGTCGTGTTCCCTAATGTCTGCTATTAAACGTATGTTTTGACCAATAAAAACGCCTTTGATATATCCCGTCTGGTCCTCGTGTATAAGGCTGGGTAGCACTTTCGCAATTCTAGTTGCGATTGACTTAGTGGCAACTTTATAGTCTGTGTCCAGAAGGGAGATAGGCCTCCAATCATCCAAAAGAGTCCTGTTTTTATCTTTCTTTGGAATTAGAGTGATGAAATCTCTCTTTTCAGAAATTTTAATTTCAACCTTCTCAAACGCATAATTAAAGATGTCAACTAATTCTTGCCTTAATAACTCCCAAAAGGAAAGATAAAATTCCGCAGTAAAGTCATCCGTACCGGGAGACTTGCCTTTGGAAAAACTTTTAAGTGAGACATAACATTGTTCTTTTGTTAGTAGACCGTCGCAGCTGTCAGCTTGAGGTGGAGACAGTTTTGAAGGGTTGAACTGTAGAAAAACACGTCAAAACGAGGATCATTTGGGTTTGTACGAGAAGAAGTGTGGAGCCTTTTATAGTATCTGTGCTCTTCATTTAAGATTTCATCAGGGGAAGTCAAAGTGCAATTTTCAGCTCTTAGTTTTGTGATGTACTGATTGGAGTGATTTCTTTTCTGTTCACACCACCTAGCCTTACTCCGAATCATTGCGCCCTCTGTTTTTTGCAATGAAATCTGCTCTAGTTTCATTTTGATCTCGTAATAGTTTGCAGTAGTCACTTGTGTAGGGTTTTCACACATAAACTTGTGAAGTGAGGACAGCTTTTGCTGCAGCACTGCTTCTTTAGCTTTTTTCGTCTTTGCATTTTGTCTGCAATAGTAAATTGTAAAGCTTCTTATTTCCATTTTCAACATGTCCCAATAAAGTCTTTTATCCTCTAAATAGTTGTCTTTTTGTTTGTACTCTGGAATTTTTTCGCCCCAAACCCTCGATGAAGCACTGATCATCAAGGAGTGAGTTATTGAATTCGAAAAATCCTGGTCCCCTTTTTTATGAAATCATCGGACTGGATGTTAAACAAGACGGCCGAGTGATCGGAGAACGAAACGGGAATGATGTTGCATTCTTTTACATGTGGAAGTAAATGTTCTGACACCAGCCAATAAGCAAGCCTACACTGAACAGCTGATGATTGGTGATGCCAGGTGAAAAGTGATTCATTAGGATGAAATTTTCTCCACATATCAACTAAATTGAAAGAATTCGTTAGACTAAGAATGGAATCTATTAGTTGTTTCTTTTGTTCAGTGGGTCGCCACCCCTTTTTATCCTTGGGTGTTAGGCAACAATTTAGATCGCCACCAATGTAAATGTTTTCATCAGCGGATTTTCGTTTACGCAGTTTTAAAGATTCAAAAAATCCCACTTGGGTTTTGACATCCTTTGGGACATAAACATTGATAACAGTGAATCTGTAGTCATCGATTTTATAGCACTGAACAATGTCCCTGCCCCTCTTGCCGACTTCAACATGTTCCACATCAACGTCGAGCGATGGGTGAAACAGGACAAGAGTACCGCAACTATTTTTTTGTGTCGTGACAAAACACTACTTTACCACCCCATTCGGCCGACCACATTTTTCCTATATCTCGCGAACTATAAACCTCCTGAAGGAAGCTGATTTGGATGAAGATGACTTGCTTCCTTTTACACTCATTATTTAAGCCTCTCACGTTGGTCTTTTAACTAAGACTAACTAACGTAAGCGAACCCAAAGGGAACGAGCAGAAAAAATGAGAGAAAAAATTAATTCTTACAATGCTGACTCTGATAGAAAGATATAGGTTGCGAATTATGGCCTATACAGCTGCCCATTTATATACAATTTATCAAAACTAAAGTTGCAGTGTGTCCCTTTTTCTTGGCGTCTCTTAAGGTTGGTACGAGAAGCTTTCTTTTGTCCATGATCTCTTTCGGAAAGTCACGCGTGACCGAAAATTTGGTATCAGGGAGATTCTTGGCCTGACTAAAAACAAATTCTTTGTCTTTATTATACGTGAATTTCGCGATGAGCGGTCTTGGTTTGGATTCAGTAGAGCTGGACTTTCCAATGGGGTGGACGCGTTCAAAAGAAATATCATCTACGTCTTCTAAAGAAATTTAAGTTGTTGCGGCAACTGTTACTTTCCAGCTTAATTGCTCTTTCCTTTTCATACGCTGCTTGTTTGTTGACGACTTCACACCTTTCTTAAGCTCGTCGATCGCTTCATCTTGTACGGCCATCTTCTCCCTTAGCTCTTTAGTAGAAGTATGAGCGAATTCTAACTGGCTTCCAATTGCTTGTTCTTTTCCTCAAGGCTGGTTTGTTTTTGCTTTAGTTCTTTGATGTCTTCAATGCAGCTTAACACGCTGTCAAGCTTTGTTTTCATCTCTGCGATTGATTCCGCCATATTGTGACAACGATTCACAACATTCTTCACAGCAAGATTTTGAACCATTGTTTCTTTTTCTTCTTCGTTTTCGGCTCGCAGAGTCTTCCTTGGTAGCAGCTTTGTCATCTGACATTTTTCTCGGCTTTGGGTACCGCGAAGAATGAAATTACATGCTGTTAAAATCGGAGAGCATAACAGTGCGTCCGACCTCTTCGACAGTCGCCCTAGTCCAAAGGCAGAATTGACTGTAGTGGGTAGGTTGTAAACCGTGGACGAACAAGGTGCTGAGAACGGCAAACTAGCGGAGGAGAACGCAGAGACAAAAGGTGGAACAAAAAGAAACGACGCCGTACCTGGCAAAGCGTTTACCTGCGAACCCACTGGCAGAGAAGTGGACGAGGTCGAGGCATTCAGAGGCAGGGACCCAGCAGCAGTCGATGACCGAGATGCCGCGCTTATGGTTTAAGACTAAAGATGGTGCATGCCAAAGGCGTCCAAATGTGCCGCGCGATTGACCAAAGTTGACTCCAGTAACCCTTGAACAGAAATGGCGGGAAGGCCTTGCATAGAAACGGAAGGAGCGCCAACTGCGGCAGACAACGACTGCTGTACGATGGCCGAAATCGGTGTCTGAAAGGGCTGAATAACCGAAGCTAAATATTCTGGCGAAATCGATCGAAGCAGAAGCCGGAATACCAGGCACTAGAGCAGGTGCTGAAGCAACCGTAGGCAAGGACGTGACGGCAGAAGTCGAACACGAAGAAGATGCAACCGGCAATGAGCTCTCGAAACTATTTCTCTTACGACGAGGCGACGTGGCAAATGATGAAGGCAAACAGACACAAAAAGATAAGGCAAAAGGAGCCCAGCACTCGGCGTTCGAATAATCCGGGCGAATTGAAGCCAAACAGATAAACAAAAGGCAAAAAAGCAGCAAAGGCAACTCGAAGCAAGCCACGAAGGCAAAACTACATGGCAATGGCTTGAATGCGGATGCGCAACGCGATCACCTGCTGACAACAGGAAATCTCCCAGTTAACTATGATTATTGATAATCTCATTAAACCACATAACATGACTTGCTAGGGCTTGAAGAACAGTGACATCACTATTTTAAAAAAGGGGGAGCATAGCGTTTTGGCTGTCATAAATATCCATTTCAAACTGCTCCCCACAGTCGCTATCACAACTACAAACCACAGATTACCTTAACAATCGTTACTAAACGTGGATGAATCACTGTCACTGTCTTGAATTCCGAGCGTTGCAGTTGATATTCTATCGGGTGTTCCGTCTGTTATCGATCGCACCAGTTTGGCCAATTTCGCTATCAGTGCAGTCACTAACGCTTGTCGAATCTACCCAACGTCGTTTGCATTCTTCTTTACTGAATTCTTCGCTAGAATACGAGAGTTAACGACTGACCTCATTGCCACTGTGATCTTCATTTAGCAAGTAAGTCGCCAGCCGTTCATCCTCGCTCCCGCCTTCAGACAACTCGAGATCGCCGTCATATCGGCCAAACACTTCCAGATGCCTCTTAACAATATTCCTTGATTGACTACATTCCGACTTACATTCTTACAAGGGCAAAAATTATCTTTGCTTCTATTTCTTTTTGTTGAACTAGCCATCTCACTCCTGATTTGCTCAGAATGTGACATCTTTAAAGCTTTGGGGCTACCCTGCACGAAGAGGACGATTTATTGCGGTTTGGTGGTACCATTATTGGTGATGGATAATACGAAACCGTCTTTACAATTAACGTAGCCCCGTTAGAAAGATCGCGAATTTGTAAGGCTTTTGGTTGGCTATTTTTGATAATGTGACAACCTCTTACCATATACATGTACATACAACAATCCAGTTGATGCAAACGAACAGCGTGAAATTCGTTCTTGGCGCTCATTTTCGATAAACAGCTACTCCATTCATATTACGTTTTCGCGGCCGCTTTCAAAGAACGCGAAAAACGGAAGATCACTTGCAGACCATAGTCGGTGAATTTCTAGACATATTGAAGAGGAACTCAAACATTTTGTCCAGCGTTTTGCAAACAGCGAAAGCTGAGAGTATGCTTAACTCAAATGGACACAAAGGACAAACAGGATTGCTGAAAAACCCAATCACTTCTGATTCATCTAGTATGTGTACCTCCTCAAGTTCTGACGAGGAGGCTGCTCAGAATGGAGCGACGAATAGACCTAATTTTAGTGCAGATGACCTTCTTGCACGACGAGCATTAAAGGGCGAAGGCTCGAAGGCTCAACAAACATTTTGGGTGAGTAAGTGCAATTAAACTTGACCTCATAGGCATGCGGTCAGGTCATTCGATCTCAGATCAAACAGTTTTAAGATAGATTGTCTAATAAAGAAACGGTTGTGTAAAAATATTTGAAACAGCCTACAGGTAGCAAACGCTCTACGAGTTTAATGTATTCAACAAAGATCTCTACTTTATGTTTCCAATCACATTTGCGATTTCTTCCCCGCTAAAGTCGGTGTTCAACTCATGTTTAATTGTTCTGCAGCCTCTTACACATAAAACTGCTGATCTCCATAGGTTAAAACATAGTTTTCCTCTCAACCAATGAATCACAATGCTATAATCCGTCTGCTTTTTATCGGATAGGTTTTGAGCTAGTTCTGTAAGAAATCGCTCGGCTTCTCTACCGTTTCCACCATATGGTGAGAACACGAGAGGGCTGAAGGAGCCATGCTCGACTTCAATAATTCGCTGGTTGTAGTGTCGCTTATTCTCGTTCTCATCGCTCGAGAAAGCCGTGTCAACTTTCTGGTTAAGGTGACTCTTTGCAGACAGCTTAAAAACCCTGACATCAATGCACGTTTCCCCCTTTGCCAAAAACCGCGCGCGCTGACATCCAAACAAGCCTCATCATAGGAGTCGGCACTGCTGATTAAAACTTCTCCTGTCAAAGGCTGAAGGTGTGGCTTGACCTCATCATGACATACGTCCTTGAGAAGGGATGTGAACGGGTCTCGCACGTCGTCATGCCTCCTATGGACAAATCCGCCTT